TAGGGAGAACAATCATCACAGGGGTAGCGCCTTCGGGGGGCCGGGAGCAGTTGGGGAGAAAAAACACAATTCGTCGGGGGGGGGGAAACAAATTATAAGAATTTTCTACATATTATTAGTACTAGTACATACTATTAATTCGATTAAATAAGCCTTTTAAACTCCGAAATTTCGAGGGCTTCGCCCCTGGACCACTTTCGAAATATTTTGAGTGACGCCCGACCACGCCCATTTTGGTCTCCATGGGGACCTCAGACCCCCTCCCCCAGTCGAGGAAATCCTGAAGCCACTCCTGGATCGTCATTAAGACATCTAAATACACAATTACAGTACATAGCTTCCGGTGCAAAGCCGGCCCACTTGAACCCTGTCACGCGGCTCCTTGGTCCCATACCTCGCATTATGCCAGGCAGCTGCACGCCCGGCCACTTTCGGCTGCCCTTTAAGTCAAATAATATGTTATTAAAAACATACCATATGGTTTCAACAACCAAGTGCCGCAAACATTGAATCGATATACGACAAGTACCTTTAGCGCCCGCGGAGGCCGGAATGTTCTTGCCTTCATTCAAAAGGTTTCCGTTCGTTTATGTTACAATACTTTTAGGAGCCAAGGTGGTGGTAATGTTGTATTGAAGGTCATGTCAGGCTATATCCAGTATATTCAATCTACATACTTAATAACGACAGTATTGTCAATAACGATTTGGAAAAAAATAATATTGACAAAAAGTTTAGATCAGGAATCCACGAATCAATTTCACCTCAATCATTTTGTTTCACAGGTGATGTAAATTTACCTAAATAAGCCGTTGTTATTGTTCTATAATTTGTTAAAAGCATATATACTGTCTCTTATACACATCTAGATGTGTATAAGAGACAGATATATATAAAGTAAGAAATTCTAAAATTAGTACAATAGTTATAATAAAAGACTTAGCAGAACTTCATAAAATGTTTTATTAAAAGTTATAAAAGATAAAATCTGCACAGACAAGAATCAATCATTCAAAAGGGATATAAACGTTAAAAATACATTTTTAAAATTCAAATTGGTAAAAAGTTAGGTGTCTGAGGGTGATCGAACAACTTTCATTGTGTCTGGAAGTGAATTCCAATCCTGAATGGATGAAAAGTGAAAGGTTGTGACGGTGATGCCTTTAAAAGGAGGAACAACAAAATTGAACTGGCTCCCTATGATTTATGAAGGCTTGAGGTGAGGACAAATCTATCGGAAAGGTATTTGACATTAGTTTTACGATACGATACGATAACATTTTTAGGACATTTGCTGATATCATTGTAACAATGCAGATGCAGAGGCTTGTAATTAATGCTGAGCAGAATAATTTTCGGATTCTATCAAAGCCTCTATAAAAACTTTAATCTCGAATTGACCTCAGTCGGCTAATCTGGTGGTAGTCACTGTGTGTGAGCTGAACTGTGGAGATCTCTAGTTTCCCGGTTCAATTCCCATCGCTGCTCTCCTTGTGTTAATTCAGCTTCAGGGCTAAAATACAAGTTACGATAGCGCACCGTCTTTCTGATGAGACGTTTAAGCCGTTAGTCCCGTGTGAAATATGGCCCATTTGCACGTAAAGCCGGCCACTCACTGCGTCGTACGACGGTCGTACGACCGTCGCACGACGAATCCAACTCCGCTCCTTGTGAGCGCTAGACGACGCGACGCCGTGTGCTGATTGTCGGTGGTCGTCTGAACGGACCATCATTACAAACGATCAGTTACGCGCGCGTCGTCACGTTGCATTATCCATAGAATCGCGTCGGCCGACGACGTAATGAGTGCCCGTCTTTAAAGAACGCAGTACACTCTTCGGAAAAGAGTTGGGGCAAAGATCCCCCAATAGTAGAACATCCGTTCGAAATGCATTATAGGTACACAGAGAGCAATTACACCCCGTCCGCATGGGTAAAGACTAAATCAGCAGCCACGAGGAACATTGTATAAATATTCATCAGAATAATTATTTCATCAGCAAATTATGCTTGTACAGTGAATGACTCAACACAGGTTTGTGCGTTCGCGGCCTTACACCAGGTATCGCGGCCCTTGATGTTCAGATTTAGTGTTTCGTGTAGGCCTACAAAATAAGGATTAGGCCTACGAATATAGTCAATAGCTAAAAACAACTTTTAAATAAAATGTGACAAATAAATTGGTAGCAGATTTATTATAGTTTCAGTTTTATAACATCACTGCTGTATTGTACAGAAAGTATAGTCATGGGGTACAGTTCTCGGGTTGGGGGGGGGGGGTTCCTTACGAGAAAGGTGGGATGCATGTGCACATGACTATGTATTGGACCGAATGGTTTCAGGAACGTTATTTAGGACTAGAATAAAAGCAATCATTGTAAAGGTGTTTGGTTACACTAATTGCCGTATGACAAAATAATAAATACCCTGCTACACAATACAGTACTGTGGCCTGGAGTTTAATAGCTAAAAACAACTTTTAAATAAAATGTGACCAAGGAGTTGTGGTACAAATAAATTTTGGAGCAGATTTAGTTTCAGTTTTATTTCATTACTGTAATCTTGTGTTAAGACCCTTACAGAATTTTAAATGAATTGAGGATCGAGAAATATACTGTACTCTGTGGACATGCATACGCACATACTGTTATACTTCGCGCTCGCAGAGTCACCTGTCTAGGTCACAGTGTACAGACGACCCCAGTGATGATATTTTTTAATAAAGTTGAAGACAAGGATTATATCAAAACGTATAAGGAGTCAACCACTACTCATTTCATAATATTATTATTATTTATATTAACACGGAAACTCGGCAAAACTGGTTCTTATAAGAAAAAAAAAGATCCGCTGGGAGATCCGAGGAGAAAAACCACAATTTGTCGGAGAGAAATAAAATGTAGGCCTATGTACTTTTTCTATATATTAGTAGGCATAGGCTCTAAATTCGATTAAATAAGCTTTTGAAACCCATAACTTGTCATATTTTTCGGGTGCTTTGTCCCCTGGAACACTTTCGACAGGTTTTGAGCGACGCCCGCCCACGCCCATTTTTGGTAGGGGAAATTTCCCCCTCCCGTCGGACCTTCCCCCCGCCACCCGTCTGGCAAATCCTGGCGCCACCCCTGTAGTAGCAGCATCTGTTTCCATAAAGGCGGACCCGGCTATGTATTACTATAATAGGCCTACTGCTGTTTTACCTATTATACAAATTATCTTCATAAAATAATTTCGCTATCTTCGTGATCAATGGACAATGATTGAAAAGTTTCGTTGTATAAGTTATAAAATAAAAACTATAATTTATTCTGAAAATAGTCCGACTCTTGACTCCATGCTTAGTCTACACAAGGTGTCCATTACAACTTCAGGAGTATTAGCAATCAATGTCCCTGTCAATGTCCCTGGGAATACACAACACTAGTCTATACAGACTCTTTTTGAGTTTTTGGTCTTGCTAAAGGAAAAAAAAAAGTACAATAAATTGTTGAATAATAAAAATGATATTCAAGATTTACTCCAGCGAATATTTATTGACTACAATTACACTCCATAACCTAGGCCCTACAACACGCCGAGATATCGAGATGCAATCACATCTTACCCACGCTGAAACATGGTTCGCAAGCTGGACTGGACACAATTCCACTCGTTCCAACACTCGCTGGATTCGCTAGACACGACTTTAATGTTCCTCGTGGAACAAGCTTTCATTAAACAAACCGCTCAGGTTCGTTTGTTTCCTGTTTCTCCACTTAGTCCAATGTTCAAATTTTAGCTCGAGTCGCGGGAGGGTGAATGTTCCATCAGTTTTTAATGCAAATACGCGGAACAACTCATTCTTACGCTAACAAAACTTTTGCTGGGGGATTGTCTCCAGATGTACTGCCCAATTCACCACCGTCCAGAAGGATCCCGAAACAAGTCTTCAGACTTCCCGGCATCTAGATGTGTATAAGAGACAGTCTTCGTTTACCGCGAAAAATAAAATAATGGTCACTCGTCTTGATTGTGTGCTTTGTGTACTCTGGTAAAACATACACTTTATATTTTAAGCTTACTTCTTTTCAGATGCCACCTAAGATCGTCTAGCAGTATTCAAAAAAAATCTCATAGGCCTATCCTACAGTCGATGTAAGAAAGACACATTATGCTGTTAGGCCTACGTATCAATAAAGCTCCTCTTATAAAGGGGTGGGGGGGGGGCTTGCGGACCGCCGCATGACAGGGCATAGACATTACGCCACTGGTGGCCTGCAATCAACTCCCAACTTTTAATCAAATCAGAATAAGTTCCGTTGACACGCATATAAATTTACAACAGTGGTGGCGCCAGGATTCCTGACGTGAGCGTATTGGTCAGGCGTTCCACATAAACCCTTATAGGGGGTCCAGGGGAACATCCCATGAAGCTATGGCATTATTTATAGACTTAATTGATATGAATAAATTGTCTATGCAAAAAAATACATATAATTCTTTCTGAAGGAAGAAAAATTGGGTTTTTTAAAGGAAAAAATCTGCTGTCTACAGTCTAGGAATCAAAATGTGCGTCTTACAGGCTACGTACAGTGTTGGTTTTCTTCCTTCGAGGGCAGCATAGTCAAAATACAGTAGTACTGTACACGTAAATTTGGCTACAAAGTAGGCCTACATTGGTGTATGTTGAGTATAAGAAAAAAATCGCTCGTAGTCGAACTAAATTTAAAATTAATCATTTATTTATTTATTTGCATTCAGGAAAATACAATATTTATAATAATATGCGCTATTAACATAGAGGTATAAATTTATACCTCCATGCTATTAATATCCTCTAATTTATACTCCTTTTTGAAGTATACAATACTTTTTCAGCTTTTATTTTAAATAATAACTGTTCGAGGGGAAATATGTAACGTCCTATAACATCTTTATATTCAAGTGGCACTACATACCTAAAATATCATTTATCTGTTTATTGCTTTAGAATTTTTCAATTTACTCAATAAAGACGGACCTTTGGTGACAGTTTTAATGTTCCACAAACATTCATCTTAAACCTCTTTATATTTACTGCATATCATAGCAAGAAAATGAAGAGGTTTTAATGAGAAAAGATTCAATGGGTGTACAGAAGCTGTGCCTTATGGTTTCTTTAGTACAGGAGTATTGTTCGAATATCGATATCAAAAATACTCATTTTCCTCCAATTATCATAGCCTTTTAATAAATCGGAGAGTTTATTTGTACCTAATTTAATACCATTTATCTGTTCATTGCACATTATGCAATACTTTGAGGATAATCTGAGTTGCAAAATCCAGACGATTACACTATTTGTCCTCAAAGATGTTGGAATAGCAACCAAACAATAATCAGCATGATTAACATTTGCCAAATGATCAATTCAATCAGTCAATAAACTAATCAATTGAAAAATTATTAATAATACAGCAACTCATATCCACAAAAAGTACCCATGTACTTCCAAACAATAAATAAAAAGATACACTAAAGATCACACTAAATCAATATAAGTAGAATGGAATAGGCAGTGGCTATTGTAATATCTGCCCTAAACGAATTCCTAATTCTAACTGGATTTTACTGTTATATTCCAACCCATACATACAATAACATTCCGTCAGAATTAGGAATTTGTTTAAGACTGGTGCAACAATATCCACTGAAAATAAAATAAAACTACACTAATTAAAACAATCTTTTGAGCAGCAATGAGATGAGTTCATAAATCCACACAAATATGAATATTAAAGAAATAACAAATGAAATGGACTCTTTAGAATACAGTATTGGCTTTACATACACATCAATCAATGTACCTCTCCGGAGTTTCAATAAAACTCCACAACTGACTAATTAAAAGACAGCCAGCCAACCACACCCCAAAACATGTGTTTACGTACATTTACGATGTTGTTTTGACAAAACTTGCAACTATATTCAAGGGTGGGCTTAGCGGAACAGACCACTGGTTGATTAATCAATCATCAATTGATTTATTATATAATACTCAATTATCAGTAAAAAATAAAATTAAATCAATAATTATTTGTTTTTCTTTGTAATCTTAAACAATAATTAATAATTACTAACGGTGACTGCTACAGGAATGCTGAAATTCTGTCCTAGGAACAGGTAAGTTTAGTTTTTTTTTTTAACAGAAGATGTCTTATGGGAAAATTGGCACATTTATGAAAAGACTATTTTATTGCATCAGTTTTATAAAATATATTTAATAAAAATCTAGAGGGCTCACTTCATGTCCCTCATGCATATGTGTACATTAGGATGATGATTGAGTGAGCTATAACAATAATATAAATCATTAAGGATTATTATTGTAATTATGCATTTTGAATTCTGACAGATAAAGAGGTAGACAACCAGGTGAGTATTGAGAGCTTTTGATTGGGCGACAAAAATGTGACGCTAGGATAGATTTAAAAAGTCACTGTCCTCTACACAACGTAGATTCAACTTAAACTTGTTTTAGATTCCCAATAAAGAGAACTGAAAATACCATAATGCCATCCCAAAACCAGCTTAAACCGAGTAATTAGCATAGAATGTGACAGTATTGTATATGTCAGTACAGAGAAGCTGTAATATTTTTGGGTCTGTGCAAGGCCATTACCAAAAATAGTGCACGTCGCATGGGTAAGGATGTGTTTTAAAAAACTTAAGGTTGTGAGGTCGAATTCCGTCTTGGTATTCAATTTTCTTTTTTCAAATTTTAAGAAATTTTTATTTTTTTTATTTTGTACAAATGAACATTCTAAATAACATTTTTTTTTTGTACAAATATACGTTCTAATTATTTAAAAATGTTTATCTTATTAGCTCTTCTAAAAAAACCCAATATAATAACTTGCGCTTGTACCGTATTTAAGCGTGAAGGAACGTGCAAAGTGGTCAGTAGTTGCTCTTGTTACTCATACCTTTGGTAATAATAAGTCAATTCTAGTAAATGTCCCATCATTTTAAAGCTTATAATGTGGAGAATAAGACATATTAACATTTTTTAAATTTCTTGACCACTGATGCTGGTTTTGGGATGTCAAGCCTCATAATTATGTGCAGAAAACTGTACGTGAAGTCATTATATCTTTGTAGTGCAATCAAAAGCTTCATACAATATTATACGTGGATATAAACTATTCAGCCTTTGCCTTCTTTTTCAAGTATTCGTTGGTGGTGTTCCAGTACCAGAACAACTGTAGAACAATTGCCCCGCTGCTGCTTGACGAGCTAATGAACACCCACATTAAAACAGGGTCGCCCGTTTCCTGGATCGAGGTGAAGATACGAGCAAGGCTGCCGAGGAAGACCAGGACCATCGTGATGGCGGATAACTGGCCTGTATGTCCGTTGCGATAGTTTTGAAGTATTTGAATCATCTGAAATTTGTATATAAAAAATATTTTATTAGATTTTTAAAATATTATAATTAAAGAAACATTTATAATTTCGCTATTGTCAATACGGCAACCTGACTGTGCCCATACCGCAATATGCAAATGAGCACAGAACAAAGTTCCTGATATCTGGTCAGGTCTACTGATAATCAGGAGCCCTCTTATGTAAATGTTAATGGTGTGGTTATGATGCTTGCCTTCCAATTCAGTGTTCTGGGTTCAATTCCTGTGATGGTAACAGAATATTCTAACGACCAAAGCAACTCCATTGTCTAAGTCTAATAATGAGACAGTCTATGCAGAGCATCTATATTTATTTCCTTCACATTCAACAGCAATACACTCACCACTTACAGGATGGAATGATGCTTTATAAACCAAGTCTCTCATTGAGACCTAGGAAGTGTTTTAGTCATGTTTTTAGTCATGAGACTGCCACAGAAAAGAAATTAAGTTCACTGTTTGGCATATCTTGTCTCTTGTGCCTAAAGACCCTTTCACATCTGTTCAGGTTTCTATTCATATTTCGGTTTTTTTTATAACTGTTCAAATCTACTCAGGCGTACGGTTAACTGGTTGATTGTCACCCTCAGTGGCTTGGCCTAGGTCTATCAACTCGGCCTAGGCCTAGACATATATGAAGTCCCTCGGGGGCTAAGCTAGGCACGTACCTGCGAGGCCAAACCTGGCCCCATTTCCGAAAATACGGTGCTCCACTGTTTCTCGTCCTCTCTAATTTTTAGAAATGTTATCATATAATATTGCATTGAGCTAGATTTGCAATAGCAATTCTTCTATAACATCATCACCTAGACCTAGGCCTGATCTTGCCACTGCCGATGCCATTGCACTCCCTCCTCACCTCACTACGAAATTGTGGTTTTTGATTGGTCAGCATCAATCAAGTGGGAAAAAATCGGTCGTAGACCGATTTGATATGGTAGCCGGAAACTATACCGGTTGCCGTATATTGGTACGGAATAATTGAAAACAGAACATGTCTTCCGCATGGATAAAATAGATATTTGTTTTGCCTGAACATAAGCTGGAAACCTGAACAGATGTGAAAGGGCCTTTGTTGTAATATTTAAAAGTAATGTTTGACTTACTCTAGAGACCAACATGACGGGCATGTTACATGCCTGTAGCGTTGCTAGTACGTTGACAGGGATCTGGCCAGACAGTAATACGTACATGACACCAATGTATGCAACCAAGTATATACCAGCAAGGGATGACTTCTTAGCATACACCAAGCAGAGGATGATAATACCACTTGTTTGTATTGCTAGAAAGAATGCTTCACCCCAAGCACTAAAAAAAAAGGATAAAAATATTAATATGTAATCTGGGATGGATTAACTCATGCTAGAATTCAACATCCAGGATTATTGGTCAAGAAATTATTGATAGATAATAATAAAGAGATTATTTAATAAGGGATAAATTAAAAATTATATATATTCATCCAGCCTTGGAATAATTCATCTAAGTTTTAAATTTATCTTTTGATCTTAAAATTAGTTCATTTTGGGATTAAGTAATCCATTTACCTCATCTTGGGATTGATTCATCAATCCAGAAAAAAATCAGCAAGAGATTCATTCATTCATTCATTCATTCAATGTCTAGTTTATCCAGGCATTAAATCTTCTAGAGCTTGTTTACCCAGCGATTAATTTATCTATGGATTATTAGGCATCTTTCTTACACAGATCTGGTTGGATTGGATTTATTTATTGTCAAACATACCCAGGATAGCCCGCGATGTTCCAAAGAATTATTTTCAGTGGGGTCCTTTACTTGGTAAATTAGACAGTACACAGGGAGACAGTCATTTACCCTGGGCCTTTCTCTACCCCATCCCTTCCTCTTTTTTCACTTCCTCCCTCCCTCCATTCCTCTCTCCCTCCCTCCCCCTCCTCATTCACTCATTCATTCATTCATTCATTCATTCATTCACTCATTCATTCATTCATTCATTCGTTCATTCATTCATTTCATTGGAAGTACAGTGAAATTGAGTTTGCCCATGCAAAGTATAGTGAAAAATATGGGCAGATTTTGAGCTTAACCTATATAGCCTAAAAACAAAAATATTTATGTTCATTGTTATCATCAAACAACCATTGTACATAACATTACAGTTTACTGAAATTCTTATTAAAGCTTTAAAAAAATTTAAACTTACGTAAATGGGAATTGTCTGGCAACAGCATATGCCCACGTGGATGATATAGCATACATCTCTAAGAGGGCGCCAGGTACACTAATTCCTTCACCACTTCCAGCTCTCAAAATCTTAACCATCTGTGGAATCTTAACTAAACAAAATAAAAGAATACAGTCAATCTTATTAAATTATCATTGTTTTCTTCTTCTTTGTGTGTTGCCATGCTGATACCGAAAGTAGAAATACTGTATTTAACCAATAATTCAACTGAATATAATGTGGTAAAACAACAATAAGAGAATAAGACAATAAAGGTGTATAATTTTACAAAATATTGCTGAATTTGAAATAATGCATTCTTTTTATTTGACCTCTCTGGGATTTTCGAAAACCGATTTACTTGTCGAAGTGTAAGGATTCTTTTTACTTATGTATTTTGTTTTGTATGTGAACACACTGTGTATGAGTGTGTGTTACCGATGTAAAGGTGTTGTTTCAATAAATTACTATATAACATAGTAATGTATTTGTACAAGGAAATTGGTCTAAATTAAAAAAAAAATTAAAACATAACCAGGGCAGAAATAAACCAAACTTTACACTAGGCGTTGTTTGCATTAATTAACATGTGCTGTTAAGTATACAGTAAGTTGCTCTTTATTTTTTTTCGACTTAGCATTTCCACTTTCAGTTCTAGTTTATTGCTTTTTGTTTTTGTTTTTGCCATTATGGTAATTTTTTTATACTTACCCATTGCTGAGCCAGCAATGATGCCAACTCCTAATCCTTTGGTTATGGCTATCTTCAAACATGTTTCTGTAAATATAATAAGAACACTAACCATTCAATTTCAAAGGTTTTTGATACATTTTTGCTTTCTGTTATGGTGTTTTTTAGATTACTTAATTTTCCATATTTTGTAAGAAATTTAATTAATAACTTTTTCGAATATTTTTAAAAAATCTTTTTGGTTGTTAATATGCAATTTTATTCAATGTTCTTACATACAAATACTGTAGTCACATTTCTTGTCCATTTAAAATATAAAGTGAGTAATTGAAAAATACTGAAGCATTTAATCCCACTGAGATTGCAAATCTTAAATGCTTTGTCTACAAATGAGGGGATCTGGATCTTGATCATTACTCCTTAGGTAGCTTCTGGACTATAGATTCTTTGGGTGTCTGGAACTTTTCTTTTTTCAGGAATTGTTGCAAGCTCCTTCATGGATTTGATTTCAGTCTCGTCTTCTTCTCAGTATGAAAGAGAATCTGTAACAATCCTTTTGGTGTCTAGAGAAGTGTGACAGGACGCAAAGTGCATTTGTAATGGGATGGCAAGGCGACCATGTAAAGCCTGCTGAAAAACAGTCAATCTGTTTGATGTTCTCCTTAATTACAACAAGTTATCCCGATTTAATTCTTGTTTCATGGCAGTGACTCTACAGAATCTGTCATAGTCTTTCGTGATAAATCATGCACTGATGTTTTGCACTGCTTCAATATATTGTACAAATTGAAATGCTTACAGGTTTCACCTGAGCCGGTTACACATAATTACAAATTAAAATCATGTTTTCATATCTTGTAGAATATACAGCACTCTTCTACATGCATGATTAGATGATTCACAGGATCAACAATATTATTTCTACTAAACTTTATTATTGTCGCTGGTACTTTATTATTGTTGCTGGTACTTTATCATAGACAAGGGTACAGGAAAGGAAGCATTGTAAAGAAAGATTTGCTGGTATTGGATGCAATTAAACTAAAAAATATATATATACTTTGCAACCACATACAGTAGCTATACCGATAGCTATACAGAATATGTTATTTATGTCTAGTTAGGGGTGGGGAGGGGGTGTAGTGGTACAAATTCAGCATGCACACATGGTGCTGTTCTTTGTCTGTCAGAAGGGACAAATTGCTTATTATTTTTTGCTTTAAAGTTCTGATGGGCCTTCTAAGCTGCAGCACGGTTTATGATGGTATCAAAATCAATACCAGACATAATGATCGCTTGTGTTTCCGTCACCAATTTGATTGGCTAAATCTATGGTAGCCATCTTGGATGGTACACACACACAGTTCTGCGTATTTCGAACATCGAATACATTGCGGTTAGCGCTCTAGTATTCTTATTATACCTCTATGAACGAAAAGGATTGTTGGTGGATACTCTTACAAACAAACGAAGAAATACATTAAAATACAATATATTTTTACTTTATCACATTCCAACCCTCGAACGCTTCTGAACGCGCCATGAAATTTAATAGGCCTAGGCCTACAACATTTCTTAAGGTATACTTTGTAATCTACGGGTTTACTAAAAAATACCAACGTATTTATTCGTATTGTTTATTACAAATATCAAAGGCAATTTTCTTAATGATGATTATTTTTTTTTATTAAAAAAAAAACATAGGGCCTAATATTCTATTAGCGAATTTTGAACTGTAAATCTGTAATTAGGCCTACCAATTCTAACAAGATTGATGTCGGTTTGAAGCTATGCAAGTACCAACTCATGTAATTTAGAAAATACAAAAAGATAACTGATATCATATTAAATGTTTATAGTTAAGGTTATTTGCAATTTATTTGCGATTTTATTAGACAAGTAGTAATTAAGATTTAAGAAAATATGAAGAAATTGGAAAACTTTAAAAGTTTAAAAAGAAAACATTATTGCATGAAGTTGGAAATAACAATGTTAACATGAAAAACAACATTGTTTATATTTTCTGGTTTCTACTATCTTTATTACCACCAAAAATATAAGTAGTCTATTAGCAAAAAGAGATTTTCTGTCTGTGTTTTATTGAGCCTTTTATGAGAAATTCATTTACAGAGCAGTCTACTCCGCCCTGTGCTCGAAGACAGTACCAACAATGCAGGCGAAACTGCAGCAGTATATCCTCAATAAGATAATGAAATCGCCAGTCGTATTCAGGCACATTACAGTATTTTCTTTATGCTGAACAAAATACCCTCAAGAAAATAATAGAAGATTCTTGAGTGCTGCAGGAATACGAGGAGCGATTCATATTTTCTTTTATGAAGGGTAAAAAATCAAATTCCATGACCCTGACCTTGCCCTTTGAGCTTTTCTTCAGAATATTAAATGGTGCCTTTCTTCGATTTTTATTTACCATTCCACTATTTTTTTTTTATTTTGATAATCCGTTCATTAATTTTTGCGTAATCTTGCTAACAGACAGACAGCCCGACAGACTGAGTCAGAACATGGAAGTATACCTCCATGGTCAGAAAGACAGATGGTCATCTGCGCGCTAATTAATTCATTATGACATCATCCGATAACGTTAAGTGTAACGTTGTGCATCGAAAACTCCCTAATAAAACTATTATGGTTACATTAATTCAGCAATTAGGAACAATAAAAAGGTCTTGCCATATAAACATAAACAAACATAAATAAACATTAGGACCTTTTAATGAACTGGAAAACATTTACACGAGAATTTGTTAACATTCTAGATAAAATCGACATCAAATACCGTAAAACCTTGAATTGAAGCCCAGTGGGCTTAATCTCGAGATGAAGCCCACCTCGAATTGAAGGCCCCTTATTTAGTTTGCAAAATTAGCCTAGAAAAGAAGCCAATCTCGGAAACGGGCCCATGGGCTTCTTTTCAAGATAGCATAGGCTTCTTTTCGATATAATACAGCACATACACAATAGGCCTAAATGAATTTCAGAAAACAAAATAAATTAAGTACAAGCTTGGTTTATAAAGTAGTTTAGGTAATTTAATGCCAGTTAAATACACTCCATGATACAGATTGATGTTACAGTGGGGCCTTATTTATTGTTTTATAATACAAATTCACAAAATTTACAGCATTCATTTTGAAAAGAAGCCCCTTTCTTTACATTGAAAAAGTTGTCTTGAAAAGAAGCCCATTTAAAAAAAAAAGCAAATCAGACGTTCGCAAAAAATAAATAAAGTAAAAAAGAAGAAGAAGAAGTAGCCCAGGGCCTCAATTCGAGGCGGTTTCACGATAACTGCCTTTGTTTTTTTACACATTATCAAAAAATCAACAAACTTATTTTTAATAAGTTCCATACGCTACCGTATTGAACAGTTCGGCAAGCTGAGCAACAGCATTATCGGTATTATCTACCTACATATTACTGATCTGAACACTGTTGAATCTGATCCTAGTGATCAGAATACACTGTTGGTCTTACGCAATTAAATGATCAGAACCAGTGATGGCGCAGGACCTGACCGACGGAAGGGCTAAAGGCCCCGACGGGGAGGGGGGGGGGCTGGTGGAGAGAATCGAGTCTCACTTGGCTAGAGTCCAGGGGGTGGGTCCCTGGACCTCCGGTGATGGTCCAGGGAGCGAAGCCCCCTGGAAGCCACGGATAGGCCTATTTGACGAATTATGGCGAATTTTTATTACTTATTTGATAGGCATCGAGCTACTATAATATAATATCATGTAGGTTATGTTTTCTAATGTTGAAATCAGCTTCCAAAACCAAAATATTTTGAATAAAACAAGAAACAAAGAGTATGCAATGTAACCATCTAATTTATTTTAAAATCCTTATTCTGTAAAGTGAAATTCTACATTTTGGAAATTTTTCATTTGTCAACTCTATCAAGGTCGAGGTTGCTTTCCCTATCACGATGTATTCAAAGCATCATGAGGCTATCCAAACGAGCATTTGTCATAACAGAACGCAAATTATTTTAAATGGGTCTCATTGAACTATTATAGTCCTATGGTAGACCAATATATAAACTGTCTCTTATACACATCTAGATGTGTATAAGAGACAGCCCCTGATCAGAAAATTGACGATCTTATGAAATCAATGATCAGAACACTGTCGATCCTACCCAAATAATTATCAGAGCACTATCGATCTTATGCAATTAATGATCAGAACACTGTTGATCTTATAAAATTAATGATCAGAACAATGTCGATCCTACTCAATTAATGATCAGAATTCTGTCGATCTTACGCAATTATTGATCAGAACCCTGTCGATCTTATGAAATTAATGATCAGAACACTATTGATCTTATGAAATTAATGATCAGAATATTGTTGATCTATGAAATTAATGATCAGAAAACTGTCGATCCTAAGCAGATAATGATCAGAATACTGTCGATCCTACGGAACTAATGATCAGAATACTCTCGATCGCACACAATTAATTATCAAAACACTGTCGATCTTACGCAATCAATTATCAAAATAGTGTCGATTTATAATTAGAACACTGTCGATCCTACGCAATTAATGATTATAGAACACGTCGCTCCTACGCAATTAATGATTAATGCTCAAGATCGACAGTGTTTTCCCCCGAACACACCCTAAGTTGCTTCAGACAGAAGTGGTACACAGTGACCACTCGAACGGGAACGACGCAAGAACAAAACGCGTTTGCTTAAAGCTGGCCTGGTTTTCATGAAATTGCTTTGCTGTCAAATTGGGAAGCTATTTCGTTTGGGCTCAGCAACGCAGTGTTATGATTAACACTACTAGCATCAAAGTGTAGCGATTTTATATTGAAACCTGGCTGAAACGAGGCTTATCTAAAGAGAAAACCAACCACGTAACATTAGTCTAAACATTATCTGATTGTAGGAACACTAGGACAAATTCTAAAATTGGTTCTGATATTCATACACATGTCTGTAGCTGCCCTCTTGAATTCGGTAAGTCGAAACCAATAAATGATTGGATTTGCAACAGAGTTAATTACCATTAAGCTGTTAATCAAATAATATAGAAAAGCGGTTGGATACTCAATCGTCATGTATATATAAATGAAAGAAGATAGTCCCCAAGTCAAAATCAACACTCCCACTATGATACAAAATGTTATTAATAATTTCTTGGACTCCTCAAAATTATGAGTCGATATAGGGGTGGTCATTCGGTGGTTCTGAATACTTCTGTAAATTACTATATAAAGAATGATATTTACGACGATAGATAGTATTGTTACCACTGGAAAACACATATCACAGAGTTGAGATATAATTAGGAACATGGTAAGACCTGTCTGGCTCACGATCAGGATAATGACGACGAGAGCACAAGATTTCCAAGTGACAATAAGATGATATCTCATCGGTGCCCACACAAGAGCGATGTAGCGATCAATAGCAATGCATGTAATTGAACAAACTGATATCCAAAACGATGACATTTGTACCGCCATTATCACCCAAACAAGTTGGATCTTAAGTAATAAAAATATGAACAGGATCACAGTAAACAGAGAACTTGTTGCGTCAGCCAAAGCTAACAGACTTATAAAGACGTTTCGTTTTTTGCGGAGCCTCTTAGTTGCGATAATCAACATAACAACGAAGACGTTTGCAAGAAATGAAATGGCACAGAATATGTAGAGAAATATTTGCAGTACGATCGAAACGAAAGTTTCCGTGTTAAGAATTTCGTAAACTTCATTGATCCACGAGTACGTCGACTCATCTTGCGATTCCGTAATTTCAGTGGCTTCCATTTTGAAATCTGTCTTTTGGAGACCTACAAGTTAATGAATCTGTACCGGTAAAGAAAACTGAACCATCAAAGCAATCGATTCGCAAAAAGTGATGAATACAAATTCAACTTCGCTGGTGAACAGTTTATAGAAAAATAAATATCATTGTAACATGTGAAGCTTATTATAATATGTTCATTTTCTGATTTTTTCACTCTGTCTTGTATAAATATAATACCTTCACTGACACGCAAAATTGTCAATTCCTTATTATACTTATTTACTATACATCAAACGTCAAACTGGTTAAATGTAATGTTTATATTAACTGTGAAATTCAGTATCTAATCACCGCCATCAATCGACTGTCAACGCCTCTGTAAATATTTCATCATAATGTTAACGTGACGTATCAAGTTTAAAGCTAATATAAATATACGCCTATATCTTACTGTTGAAATAATGCATTTAATAGTGAAATCGTAGAAATAATTTGGCAAAAA